TGGGCAATGTATAAAAGATACAATTGAATATCTCATTCCACCAGGTCATTTAGAAAAATGTGCTGGTGAACTTTCTTAAATCTGAAAGAAATCAGTTATTTCTTAAGTTTGTTTGTTTGTTTGTTTGTTTTTGCTTTTGTTATTATTTCAGTTCCTGCCATCACTCTTGGATTATATTTACTTTCAACACTAGTAGCATCATTCCAGATAGTCCTTGTCCACTTCTTAGCTGGTGTGTTCTTTGAGAATGCAATCCAGTGCAGTAGGACCACTGTGTGGAATAGAGATGCTGTGAGGCTGCAGCAATTTAATATTTAATGTCTGTACTCCAGAAGCGAGTGGTGTAAGCATGAGAGAGCTGACCACTGTTTCCCCCTGGGCTGCTGCAGGGCTCTGTCACGTCCCTCCTGCCCTGTGCCATGGCTGCAAACCCTCCTGGAACCTGGCCTGGAGGAGGCAGGAGCTTCTGTGAGGTCCAGGAGGCACAAAATAGAGGTGCTGGCTCCCCTCAGCTGGCTCAGCAGGGCGTTTGGGTATGGGAGTTCATGTGGGTGCAGTTTGTGTGCAGACTCCCTTTGGTGGGTGCAGAGCTCGTCACCACTTTTGATGTCACCTTCCTGCCTGCACGTTTAACACAAACCTCGCAAGAGCTGAGCAGCTCCTCCTGTGCGGACTGGGCAGGTAGAAGGGACACAACAGGCTGAGCCACAGCATTCCCAGACAGCTGTAGGAAATGTTTCCAAAGCTGCAGAGAGAATCTGCTTTGTCATTTCATGCAAGTGTTCTCAGAGAGGCCACGGCAGAAGGTGGCTCCTGCCCCTTGCCAGCAAACAGGGTGAGGGAAGGCCCTGCTGTACTGGGCTCCCCAGGGGTTCCCTGAGCAGGCTCTGAGGAAGAATCAGGCTAAATATGTCAGGATAAGACATCCACATACAGGAATTCTTGTTTTCTACCCTACAGCTCTGAGTTTAAACTGTGTGCAGATCAGCCCTTTCTTTAATAGTCTGTCCATGCTGCAGCACAGCTGAGACAATTTCTGGGAACATCCAGTCAGGGTTGAATACATCAGACAATAAGAGCAGTTCCCCTCCTTGCTCGTGCTCTGCTGCAGGCAGGGTGAGGTGGTGATCAGGACTGCCTGCCTGAGGGGAAGTTCATTTCTTATGCTACTCACTTTAAGCAAAACGTGGACATTTTTAAAATTGATGGTATCGATAGCCAAGTTAATTAATTTGTCACCAAAGTAATTACAAAACTGCAGTGACTGCAGTAGATTTTGGGTTGTGTTGGTTTAAATATTTATACAATTGGTTATAAATATTTAGACGTGTGTGTGGTCAGGATTTAACAAGATGGAGAGTCTGGGCTATGCCTAAGGTGCCTGTTTACTGCTGTAATACAAATACTGGTGCAGGGGTTATGTTGTGGAGGCTCGTGCAGTTGGTCAGTGGGGACTCACTGTAATTGGTGATTGCTGAGGAAGGTGTTTTCTTGCCAAACATTCCCTAGGAAGGGAACTAATATATGTGTAGTGATTGATAAAATATAATTCTGCTTGGTGCAACCTCATCTGTAACTTGACACTGCTTTTGGTGGAAGTATTTGTGAGGATCTACGAAGTGTAAGTGATAAGAGATTCAATTAAATTATTACAATTAAATTATTACATTTCTAATGTACACATTTAACAGGGCAGGAAGAAACTTCGATTGTGGTTCCAATTTCATCCCATCTTCTTAATTGTATGTGCAGTAACACCACACCTTGACATTTGCAAGGTGGCATCAGATCACCGCGAGTTTGAAATGTGATTCCTAGCCCATGATTATGTAAAATTAAACTGCTGCATAAGTACATGGGGAACTTACAGGACAAACCCTGCATCAAGAGGCAAGCAATTAACAACTTTATGACTGCTTTTGAATTTGTTTTTAAAATAACATAGGAGTGAGGAATAGTATTGTGTAGGCATATGTTTTGGTTTGTTGAGCCTATTTCTGGATACTATTTTTGGCATTTCCCTCAGCTGCATAGTAGCAGACTTAACAAAAAGGTATACTATAAATCACTCTGGGTGTCCGAGCTGACAGCTTTAAATAAATCCAGCTGACAGCTCAAATAGCTGCTCCATTGACAGTATGTGGCCTAAATGTGTTAACAAATGCGTAGACTCAGCAGTTTGGGATTAGTTTAGCAAATAAATTCCAAAATAATGCTGTGATCCAGCAAAAAGCACAATGCCTGTGTCTCCCCGGGCTGCAGGCTTTGTTAACACTGTCCCAGGCCTTTGAAGCTCTCTGTGAAAACACAGCCCTGCAGCTGGAGCAGAGCTCCTGCTAAGACAGCACTCACCTCCCCCAGAGCCCTTCTCAGCGTGGCATCAGCAACAATGTGAGTGGTGTGGTGAGTAGAGATGGTTTGGTCGTGGATGTGCTTGCTTTGCAGGGTCAGGGATTTCGTAGAGGGAGATGCTAACCTTACCCTGGTTTGGGTTATGATTGAGGACACAAAGTCACTGAGTGGCAATAAAAACCTGCTTTCGTGCAAAACTCGAGATATTTGAATGTTTTGGTTTGTTTCATGTGTTGTTGCTACTGGGTCTGTAGTACTTGTGAAAGAAAAGCTGGGAAGAGAAGGTGATGAAGGAGCTGGACTGTTAAAAGGATTTCAGCTCTGGAGATGAATTATATTAATAAGTTAATTATTTCCCTGCTGATCACTGCAAGAAATGAGAATTACATGAAGAATGATGTCATAGTTGGACATATTTAAGGCATGGCATTTTTTGTGCTTAGAGGTTGAATAAAGCTACTGTTTATTCCTTTATATTTGAATTTTAACTATTCACAGACAGGACAGCATGGCATAAGGTATGATAGAATACACAATGAGAACATGGAATGGAACTCTCAAGACCTGTATTTTAATGTAATCACAAGTATTCTGGTGTTCTCCAAAAACGTGTTTTTATAGTAGTCGTGTCTAGTGAATAATTTCAGTGAGGGTCAGGGCACTGCAGGAGTCCTCTGTCCACCTGTGCCAGTGACCTGCTCCAATGTTACATCCTCGTGGAGAATAACAGAATTTGTTCTTTGCCTCTGGGTTTCTTTGTCAAGGTTCATGGTGCAAAGGCCGAGACACTGAGAGGAATTAGAGTTCCTCCAGGTGTAAGAGCACCTGGAAAACTCTTTAATTCACATGCATTTGCCTGCCTGATGCAACGTGGTTAGTTGAGGTCAGGACACTTCATTGTCAGCAAAATGGAGAGCAGTTTGTTTGTTACTTACATGCAAACCACTCCAAGACCCTTCTGTCATCAGACCGATTTCACTGCCAAGAACACACTTTATTTCTTGTGAATATCCTGTGACATCCACCCTGTGCTATGAGAATCACCGTGGGTCAGTTCCTCATGGTCAGACCCTCGGCTTCTAAATCCAAGTAGCTCTATTTAAGTCACTGATACTCTGGAAATTTATACCAGTTGAACCTATTTCATAATATTAAAAACCACTCTAAAAATTCAATGTTGATTTTTTTATGAGTTTGTATGAATTTTGCACAGTAAGAGAAGAGATGTGAGGGCCATATGAAATTCTTGTGTGCACCGAGTCCACCAACTTACAAACAACTTGTGTGGCAAATTAAGCTGCTTGAAAACATTTTGAGATGGGACAAAAAATCTGTTCTCGCTTGTCAGCTGTTAAGAATTGTGGGCTGTGGGACTTCAGGGGTCTGAAGGATGCTCTGTCCTTCTCACAAGAGCATTCACAGTTGTTAGTCTCTTCCCCAGGAATTGCTGGTTATCTCATAAACAATTCAGTGCTGGTTTTGGTGGTTTTCTGTGCAATTACCGGTATTTGTAGACGCTTTTGAAAAGGAAAAAAAAGCAGTTGATTTTGAATGCAATTGTTTGCAGCAAAGGAAGAAATGCGTTGGAAGGGCAGTGACTGAACTTTTCACTGGGCTGAGAAGGCTCTGCTCATGTTCTGGTGGCTCTGCAAGCTGTGTGTGTGTGACCTGCAGCACAGCACTTGGGAATGTTGGCAAAGCAAGTGAATGTATGAATGCTCCATCAGAGCATCCCAACATCCCTCTTTTCTAATGACTGAACTGTTTGTTCATGTAAAGACATTTTTTCGGCATCCCCAGAGGCGGTTGTGTTTGTGAAGGACATTTTTAATATGTCAGTCACAGCCCAGAAATACCAGGCATGGACTTTGGAGGTTTCTCAACATGCAAGTGTTACAATTTCTACCTCCACACTTTTAGCCCTCTCTATTGAGAAAACCAGAATATACCACCAAGAGGATATCTTTTGCTTCCCCTCTGCTCCTCACAACCTCACAGTTGTCTGAAACCTCAAGTCCACGTGGCTTTCATTTTAATTCTTCCTGCAGGAAAGCAGGTGGGTTTTACTCTCCTCATCTATTAACTGGCTAATGCAAAAGGGTGGTTTGCAACTGCAACATTCTCATGGAGAAACCACTTCTTAAGCAAAAATGTCTGACTGCTCTTCACCTGGAAGTCAGTGAGACATTTTATCCTCACCCACCTCGCAACTGTAGCTGACCTCCTTGTCTTTGAAGATCTGAGTTCTGAGAACTTAGGCTTAATCCAGGAGGAACTCCCACTAATTCCAAAAGATATCCCATATATGAAGGTCTGATAAGACCTAGATCTTGGAGGGATGAACACTTTTAGTTTAAGAATTCACACGTTTCAGTTTAGGAGTCAGAAAAACAGACACAAGCTACAGTGTATGATTAATTTTTATTGGGTATTTTTAAGGGAAGTGTCTGCTAAAGTAGAGTTTAGAACATGGTGAGTGGTCCACACAATGAAAAAAAAAATCAGTAATCAGTGTTTCATTTTGTTACTAAGGCAATGAACAAATAACAGACACTGTCAAGACAAATAAGGGGCTCCTGATTTTCAAGGGTTTGGAGTGTCTCGTGCAGATTCATCCCAATTTTTTCTTGTTTGGTCCTTTTGAATCTCTAAGCCTGTACCATTTCCTGGAATTCTGTGAAAGACAAGAGATTATTTACCATAGAAATACTGACATGAAAGGATTAGTAGTAAAAGATTAGTAACATATCAAGAGATTTAGAGTAGGAATGAACAGAAAACAGTTCCCTGACAGATGACCAGAGAAGAAACATGTATGGAAAAGAGGCTTTGCCTAAAGGTCCTCTTCTAAACAGCAGATGGAAAGGTAGTGTTTTGCTGACACTCATAAGGAATAATAAAATATTCATGGTAGTTTTAGCCTTCTCTCTGCATAGTACTAATCCTAGGCAAAAATACTGCAATGGCTTATGTAGAATTTGAGTAAGAAGTAGTTAAAAGCTGAATTAAAAAAAAATTAAATGTGAGGCCATGTGTTTTATTAGCTGTAGTGCTTCAGTAGTTGAGAAGTGTTGATTTAGAGCACAGTCTAAAGCCAAAAAATGGTGCAGTTGCATGTGGTATGATCCTGCAGTATTGTGTTATGCAATAGGATACTGTTATTGAAAGGTTTTCAGATGTTTGGCTTCAGTGAATTAGTGTCTGATCAGTGCTGTCCTGAATGACTATATTAGTATATGGATTGCTCCATAAATCATGTGTGTTTACTCTGGCATGGTTCCCAAGGAACTGGATTTAATTCCTTCCAGAGAAAGAAACAGAAGAGCCCTGTCCTGCTGGTGCAGGGAGCTGGGGAATCTGCATGCCAGCACATTCCCTGCGTGCTCTTCCCTAAGCCCCTGCCATGCTGGCCTGGGCACTTGCTGCTCTCCCAGGGCAGTGCCAGTGGCTGCCAGCCCTTTGTGCTCTGTGCTCAAAACAGGGCTCAGAAATGGGCAATTGGGAAATCAGGAGGTTTCTGCACTGAGCAGCCATTAAACCCCACCAGCATTTCCAGTGGTGAGTGCAATCTGCTGCTTCCTAGAACAGCTGTTCCTTCCTGTGGGGTCCTTACCCTGCCACAGGGTGAACAACATCCAACAGATCCTGCTGGGGGATCTTGTGCTGGAGCAGTGACACCTGATCATTCTGTTCTCCTTGTTATGCAAAGCAGATATTGCACTGTGTGCTGCTGGCTCCTGCATATTAAAACTGTCAGCCAGTGACTGGTGGAAGTTCTGCTGGGAAATAACTGCTGTAAATGAGCTGCTGTTGGTTCTTCTGTGGACAGCTGGTTCTTTGTTCTTGCTGTTACATTTGTGTACTACAAGTGGTACCAGTGCTGCCTTACATCAGTCAGGGGGAGGAGAAATAAGGGGCAGTTCCCTTCAGAACAACTGGAAATTTGAGAGTGAGTAGCAACAGGAAAGTTCCTTGGGGTTTTTTTGACTTGTTTGTACCAAAGGAGTTGCAGGGATGAACCTGTAAGATTAGGGACCATGTCCACCTTTCAAAGGTTGCTGTTGCAAGGGTTTCAGTACAATCACTGGAGCTGCATTAATTTACCACCAACATAAAAGAGAATCACACATCATGGCAACATCCCTGAGGAGCCTCATTCTGCATCTAAACAAGTCAGTACCTTCAGCCCCGATTTTCCCGTCCCCGTCGTGATCTGCAGCTGCCAAGAAGGTCTTGGTCTCTGAGGTGGTTAACACCCTGGCTCCACACTCAAACCTCTGAAGGAAATACCTGGGAAGAGAACAGCTTTGGTTTAGATTTTCACACAATGTTATTTTTCTGTGCTTGTCGTATAATCAAACTGATAGCTATCTCTACACCATTTACCACAATAGCCAAGTCCTTCAAACACTACTTTGTTTGATAAGCTAAATCTTTGTTGTATATATTTCTGCTTTGTAAGTCCAACCCTGATACAACTGATTCCAGCCCCAGGGAGTTATTTTTTTCTCTACTAAGCATCAAAGGCAGATATTACTAATTTGTTTTTCTCTGTAGGGATTATCTGTTTAAATACAACTTTCACAATCTGCTGAAGGTTTAATCAACATTTAGCATAACTTGTGTTCACATTTGCAGAACAATTGTGGAAAGTAAAAAGTGCTGATAGCTTGGGAACATCTAAATAGTTAATAAAATCCTTACTTGAGCTCATCTTCCTCAATAAAGCCACTTTGATCATTGTCGAGAATCCGGAAGATCTCCTTGAGCTGGCTGCTACTCTTTTTAGACATCCCACTGATCTGAAAGAATTTTTTGGGACTAAAGGAATCTGGAGCTGAAAATAAATTAATAAACAAATTAACCCCAGGCCACTTTGTTCACTGTTCCTAAATGGCCTGAGGACGCTGCTTTGTTACATCATAATTGCTCTAAGCGTGAACAGCAGGCAGTGCCTGTCAAGGAGTGAATGAATTTACCCTCCTGCCCCATAACCTCATAAACATTGAACAGAATCCCGTGGGGAGAAGCTGCAAACTGCCAAGAAAAAACAGCTATGAACAAACATTCAGTGCCAGCTGAGTGAAGAGATTACAGAAATCAGTTGAAGTTATGCACTTGCTCAGTGTTCCTTCAGACCTGAGTCCAACCTGCCTTGTGTCACCCAAAACTGTCGATTCTCAGAGTTTGAATTGTTTGCTCACCTTGGCAGTCCCTCAGAGCAGCAGCAATATCAGAAGGGCTTAGGATGTCTGTGAGGCTCATTTTAAACCTGTGCAAAAGATTGGATTGCAAACAGAGTTGAGAAGTGACAAATGCATCTTGGGTTTTAAAGAACACTGTAAGGATAACAAGACTGCTATGAGTAAATTAATCTAACTGATCAAACCAGCCCCTCTGCTATTCCTAACAAACGGCAAGATTTAGTACACTACTTCCTTCAAAACAGCAATGCTGAAATAGTGCTCTTTAATGGTGCTTTACATAAATCAGGTTGTGAGTTGATGATCAATTTTTTTGTCATTTACCTTCAACCTTTTTAAGTACAGCACATTTTTAAACTCAATGTGACCATTAATTTAACAATTAGTCTTACTGGAATGCATAGCATCAGGCAACACAAATAACAGTAGATGCAGTGGGAAAAGGAAAGGCAAGAAAGTTTACTTCTATTGTCTCCCCCAACAGCTCTGAAGAATAAAAAGAAAACTGATACTTATCGATAAAAGGTCCATCCATATGTAATCCCAGCAATTAAAAGAAAAATCTTAGAACAATAATTATTGTACTTACTACTGGTGCAGCTCTGCACAGTAAATTCATTTAATTATTCTCAAGTCAGCTGCTCACCTTTAGAGTTTTCTCAGCTAAGTAAAGGAAAAATAGCTGAGGAGACACCAGGCAAAATAGTAATGTTGGCTCTGCTTGCTACTCTGTCTTATAAAGGATTCAAAAGGTGACAATAAGCACTGCTTGGGTTACACATTCATGGATCAGGTGTTTGAACTGAGACCTGGCTCAAATTTCTTCCTTAACTAATTAAACTTTTCTTTCTATTTATATCCCGAGATAATATGGACAAGAAGAAGTTTTTATTTTAATAAATCCACTCTTGTTTATTTAAGTACAGCTCTGCCATCGAAACAGCCTCTCCTTCTCCAGGTATGTTGACAGGTAACCTCTGCACCTGCAAGTCCCTCCTCAGAAGAGACTCCAGCTGTCAAATACTTATGAAAATAAATGAGTTTGTTTTCCCTAAGTCTGTTGATCCTTTGGAACAAGGAAGGGAGGTTGGAGATGAAAGATCAGAGGTGACAATGTGTCATTCTGACAAAGATGGCTTGTCACCAGCAGAGAGGAAAGCAAGCCCTGCTTTGGGTGATCTTTCTACAGTGAGATTCATTTCCTACTTCCTGACCATGCCCTAAATTACAGGAACAGAAACCAAAACCTTCAGTGACACAGAGCTATGAACTAGGTACAGCTGAATAAGTTCACCTTGCTGTCAGCATTCCTTGGAAGATTAGGTATAATCAGGTGGCCTATGTAATGATCTGTTTGGAGTATTTTAAACTACAGTAAATCAATAATAGACTATTACTATAAACAATAGTTGTAGTGAGTTGTAGGAATCAGGCTTTGTTAGTCTGGAGATGAATTTATATACATCTTCTAACACACACAATCTGCTTCCTTAATGTGAAATTTAAATTGGAGGTATAAATAAGTGGTGGTCTGTTATATATTTCAAGAGCATTAATTTTGGAACAAAAAAATTAAGAAAATTCATAACAGCAGATATGAGGTTTTCCTTCTCAGACAAAAATCTATTTCCAGCTTTAAGCAGGATTATGTGGACAAAATTCTAGGATACAGGCCAATAAAACAATGTATTTTGGTTAGAGTTTATTGTGTAGCAGCCTATTATGGTATTTAAAGTAATGTTCTCTTACTAGATGAGCATTGCTTTATTTTTCATGGGTGGAAATAGCCTGATCTGCCAAACAGATAATATTTTTTATAGTACCAACAGTTACAAATTACACTGTGGAGTGGAGTAGTAATACATTTAAACCCTGGTGTAAATGAATGGGCTGCAGTGAGTTTACTCCTGCTTGGTTTAATGACAGTGAGAGAAGTGTCAGCCACAGCAACTGTTCCCTAGCACTGCTTGGGTTTGGATAGAGCAATACCAGCTGCCAGGAGCACAAAAAGCAGACATAATGTCACGATCCTTTCACCCTTTTTGCTACATCTTTTGCAAGCAAGAGGAAGTGGCTTAAACCCCAAATAATCAGACTTGCCTTTGGTCCCAAACACCAGCATTTGGTAAGGAAACAACGTTCCCTTTTGTTGATTCCAGTGGGAAAACTGGTCACAGTAAACTGGAAAACCCTTTCCTGTTAAACCCAAGGGCCCTGGGCTGTTGTGCATTAGTATTGTCCGATTAAAACAAATTAAACAATGCTGATTTGTAAAAGATGAAGATCTGACCTCACACCTTTTGGTGTTCTTTCCATTTATCTCCTTCATTCAGCACTATATATTCAGGTTGCTTCCTGGCTGAGATTTCCATGATATTATGGTCTAGCAGGCAGTGGCAGTGATGGATCTTTCTCCAGAATCATCCTGAAAATAACTTTCATCCTCGTAGGCACCTTTTTCCACCCCGTGTGAGTTTATCCCAAGCTGACATGAGTTTGAACAGAACGGTTCTTTCACTGATTCCTCTTGTCATTTTTACTACCAAGATGTTTCTAGAGAAAAGTTTTTTTTTTTTTATACCTCTGTGGTAGTGCTTTATTGGAGACTTCCTTTATTTCTGCTCCCTCCTACACAGTGCTCACTGAACTGCTTGCTTTGTGGGAATGTTTGACTGGGCATCCAACTCTAATCAGTAACGGAGAGAACGAGGAAATTGAAATGAAGTAGAGAAAAATGACAAGATCGAGGTGAGCACAACAATATTCCAGCTCAAAATATGCCTGCAACTAATTCAGGCATTGCATTAACATATAAGCACAGATGTTCAGAGAATGATGTGTGGTTACCTCAGGCACTGCCCTGGCACTCGGGGGCTGAGCTGTTCCTGCATCCAACAGGAGTAGAGTGGCCAGAATTGGGGTTATGTCAAAATATGATCTCAACCTAAAGGAGCCAATTGCTGTTATTGCTTACAGAGGGATCTCTGAATGTTTGAAATTCAACACTGACAACAAAAGTGATGCTAGTCCTGGCTGAAAGATGGTTTACAAAAGCCTAAAAGAGCTGAATTTCAGAATCAAGTTGATGTCACTGTATATTGATACAGATGGGAATCTAGGGTTACTGGGTTTTATTTATTTATTAATGACACTTCATCTGAAGTACAGGGTTCCCTCCACTACAATTAGAATGCAATAATCAGGGATTAGGATATTAAGGGATGTTTTAATGAGATAATTTATTTTACAGCTAAATTCTCTGCTTTCCTTACTTCTGGAGTGTGTGTTAACCTGGGTGATTGCAATTATTTTATGCATTCAAAAAGCGAGATCGATCAAAGTGAGTTTTTAAAAGTTGTTATGCAAATAATGGAATGTTATAAAGAAAATCCCTGGTAATAAATTCCCTAGGTGATGAGCAGTTAACAAAAGTGCAATATCTGGCACAGGATCTGAGCACTGCACATTTTCCAGGAATGTTTAACACTTGTTCCTATGAAATTCAAGAAAAACTAATAATTTTTCTCTGAGTTTGTTTATTTGTTTTGGGTTTTTTTGCTCTACAAGGGACATCTGAAAGCTCTATTGAGTTGTTCATCTGAATATTTATGTACTTGTATATCTATTGTTTTCACCTGAGGAGTCTTTATTAAATAGTATTAAAGCCATTTTTTGTTTGTTTGTCTTCAGACTTCCAGAATTAAACTTGGAGGTGTGGTTGTGAGAAACACCCAACATTCATGTTGATAAGTTCTTGCCAGGAATCTAAACATATGAAACGATTGTCTTCAAATCAAGTACTATTTACATCTCTAAGAATCAGAGGGAAGTTGTGTTTTGGTGAATCATTGACAGGTTGTGGACTAGTCTTGTCCCCTTTGTGTTCTGTTTGGCATCAGGGACACAGTTAATTAGCAGTGGCAATCAACCAGAGCCATGACTTCAAGCAGCTGCAACAGAACCATCAGCAGTTGTCTCAGGTGAGATCAGAGGAGAGGTGTTAACCTGAGACCAGCTACAAGAGTGTAAAGAGATGCTGTAGCAGCTGTTCTAAAACCCACACAACTCCATCTTTCAGCCCTGCCTGTGTCAGGGCCACTGGTATCATGATCCTGGCTAACAGATTCTGCCTCTGTAATGACTTTGGAATATCTGAAATAAGTGCCCAGTAACCGGTGGGGTTGCTCGGTAGTGTTGATGTCTCGGTGGTGATGGCAGAGAATCCTGCTGTGCTGACAGCTCCAAACATTAAACCAAAATGAGATATGTCCTGCCACTTCCAGTGGTCTCTTAAGGCACAGGCTTTAATCATACAGAAATAACTGCAGAGTCTGATTTCAATTGTTCTTGGACAGTAGTATTTCACCATATTTAACCGAGGAGTTTGAGCACATGGAGTAGTGGGTGGTTTTTTGGGACTGTGAAATATTGGGATGCAGGATGGAAGCCAGGCCCCAGAAGCCTCAGTGACAAAGCTTTCTCTCCCTGCAGCAAGCAGAGGGTGTTCCCCTGAGCACAGAGCAGAGAGCTGGGCTGTAGAATCCGAGAGCCAAGACAGAACCTGCAGCACTCTGGGCTGGAGCTAAACCAGAGCAGGTGCTCCTCTCACATCAGGGGCAATGTCATGTGTGCTTTCCCAGCTCAGGTGATGTCCTCAGGATTCTGTGGGAATGGAATGGATTTCTGTTTGAACCTGACAGCAGAATAGGCTGCCATAAGGGAGTAACAGCATCACTAATTCACAGAGGCTGGTCTGATCAGTGTATTTTTTCCCTTAAAAAGCTGTCCTGGAAGATCTCTGCTAGCATTTGATATGACAGGTGTTTGTCTTTAAACACACTTAGAAGTGCTTCTGTGACTCAGCAACACAATTTTCTGTCTGTGATCCTCAGTGTAACTGTCTGAGGTGTTTCTGTCTGCTACCAACATTACAGACAGTGTCAGGTGGAGTGGCCTCGAAGAACCCGAACTGTTCAGGTTTTCTGTGTGTTTTGGGAATAACCATGCCCTAAGGTTGAAGGCTGGGAGATAATCAGGATGCTGCCTGTTGTGACATGGCAAAGATGAGTGCAGTGGTGCTCTGCTCTTGCCAAAGGCCCTTTGCACGTGGGGTATTTCACTGTGCCCCACAGGGGGTGAGGTCACAGCAGAATAAAGCAAATAGCACTGAGGTGCTTCCAACCACTTCTGCATTCACTGCCTGCCCTCACTGATGTCACTGGGATTCCTGCCATTCACTTCAGCACTAGGAGGATGTACAACCCTTAGTGAGGCATAAAGTACAATTACCCCATAATTAGAGTTAACCTTATCATAAATAATCATCAAAAATCACTCCTTTAACAGAAATGGCCCTCTAAATAAAGGGAAGCAGGTGTCTAGATTCAGACAAGCTCTTGAAACACACACACCAAACACTCGACAAAATTCCACTGACAAAAGGCAACCACATATTTAGGGTCTCAGACCTCTAAATTTATAGTTCCAATGGAATGTGCTTTGTTTTAAGGGAGCTGTTTGACAATATATGTTTATGATCAGGCAGGAGTCTTTCCAGCTGAGGCACAATTTGAAGAGCTTTCTTAAAGCACCCAAGAAGTAGTGACAGAAATTTCACAGCCTGTGCGAGTGAGAGACACAGAGGAATAGAAAGTAAGTGTATTTTTGTACATAGAAAACAGCATTTTCTCCACCAACCTGCTTAGTGGTACTACTGAAAGAAGGAAAGGTCTAAAAGTGTCTGTAGTCACCAGCTCTCCTTTACTTTCTGGAGCGACCAGTGAAGCTGATATCAGACTTACCTTGTCATTAATTTTTTACTGTTCTTAATGGAATGGTAAGTGGTGAAATTGTCTTAGATTTGTAGGCCTAGCAGGCTAATCAGGGTGGAAGTAAGTGTGGTTAAATAAAGGAGCTGCCTGCTATCTCTGAAGTTATCTGAGCTGTCTGGGCCTCTCTTATTTAGCCATTAATGTTGGTACAATGCTTGAAAATCTGCTGGTGACCCATATTGCATGGTGAAAATATAAAACATAATATCAGCTGAGATACAAAGCATTTTCTGGCCATAGTGAGAGCTTTTAGCCCTGCAATCAGGCTGCACTTACTAATTGTGCAAAATCTCCTTTTTTAATTGCTCACCTGGGTGTCACTGAAAGAATGAGTACCAATTTGTCAGATGGATAATTTTTTTTCACTCTTAAAGGAATTTCTGCAATATTAGGACCTGATTTATTCATTGGAGGTAATGAAAATATATTGTTGTCTAATTTATAAGTCATTAACATTTTATTGAGGATTCATTGAAGTCTTGTAGATGGCTTTAATTTTATGTAATAGGATGATTTCCCCAACATTGTATTGATATTTCCTTCCTTCTCCATAATTTCTCATCATAAATGTGTTATGCATCAGCAGATAATTTTGAATTTAAACTTTTCATCTGCAAATACTGAAACACCTTCATAAGTAGCTCCAAAAAAAAAAGTGTGAGACAGTTGTCTACCACTTTTTCCAAAAGTAGTGTCCAAGAACAGCATTGCCAAGAGTTCCAAATTTTAAAGGAGCACGTGGGAGCAACTATCACATTGAATGAATAACGTTTGGGATGGTTAAAGCCATCAAAAATTGCACTGCCTGGAATTAATTCAAGCAGCTGGAATTCCGGTTTAACCTCTCGGCAGTGGAACAACAGTGCCATCGGGTGGGCACCAAGGGGAGGGATTCCCTGGAGAGTTTGGAATGTGTTGCTAGTTCAGTAATCTAAATTCATCCTGGGTCCAGCTGATCTGAAATTGGTGGCTTAATTGGTACTGGGTCCTGCCATATAATCAGTCTCTGAAACATAATCAGCTGTGTAAAGAGTGACATAAAAACATAAGGATCATTAAATACACCTCTTGATTAAACACCGCTGATTACCAGTCACCATAACCAGGCTTTACACCTGGACATTTTATTAATTCTCATTTTTTCCAACATGTGCTAATATTGAAAATTCAATGGCCCACAGAGATGCTTCGAATTTTTTCCTCTTACAATTTTTATTTGTATCTTTAATGCCCAAAGTGCGGATGAGCAGAGTGGATTCTAGTTCTGTCTCCCAGTGGTATAAACCTTCTGCTTAAAACGTGGTTTAAGTAGTGCTTGCACCACTTTAGATGTTTTCCAGCCATGTGAAATCACTTGCCAACAGTCTTTCATGACCTTCCAGGGTACAACATGTGTAAATAAATAGTAGACTTGCAATAGGAAAGATTGTTTGTGGCACAGATCTCTTGGTCTTCATCTTGACTGCTTGTTAAGATTTGACCAGAGCTTGAAACTCTGAAAAATAAGTAAAAGAATAACGAAATGGAACCACATTTTCCAGTCACACAGTTTAAAAATTGCTTTCTTAATTTTTAAAGTTAAAATAGGAAACTAATGATGTTTTTTTCTGATAAGCATTCCTTAAAGGAACTACACACTGTGTAGTCATAGTACGAGGTACTTAAGGCAAAGGTAGTGTTGCATTTAAGGGTCACATTGCACCGTAGTTCAGGAGTAAAAACCACTGAAATTATGGGTTGATCTTGAGTTCCAATCTTGAAAAAGTCTCCACAGATGAGAGGAGGGACTGGGCACCTGTAGCCAGGGGCAGGAGCAGTTCCTGGGTTAGATGCTCTCTGTAATCCAGAGCAGATCTGAGCACCTCAGATCCATGACATGCAGTGCATGGAGCAGGGCAGCTGCCTGGAGCTGCCACTGGGAATCCTCCAAGGCAGGTGTTGTTCCTTTTACTAAAGGCAGTCTTACCATCCACTCCAATTTTGCCATCTCCATCACTATCCCCTGCTGCCAGGAATGCCTTGGTCTCAGCATCAGTCAGAGCTCTGGCACTGGCAGAGAAATTCTTCAGGAAAAGTCTGTTAAAGGAGAGAGCACAAATGGCTGAGACAGACCCGGCACTGACAGTTTGATATTAGTCAGAGCTGTAAAATGTCAAGCCTCATTTAATCCTGGAGGCTGTTTCAGTGGCAAAACCTCCTCTAACTTCAGTGAGGGTCAAGGGTAAGAAAGTGAGAGGATGCTGCATCACCACACGTAAAAATGCTTGATGGCATCTTGGTTTCACTGGATTAAAAAGGCAAAATTAACCCTGGCTCTGTAGTGGCAGGAGTCATCTCCCCTTCCTCGTTACCTTCCTCCTTCTTCCTAAGATGCACATCCCTGAGAGTGACAAGAACTCCTCTAACCTGACTTTTAACTTCAAAGCCGGATGACTGTGATCTGCAAGGTAGAATTCATGTGGCAGAAAGAAAGATGAGAGGAAAAATAGCCCTTTGAATTCAGTCTAGTAAAGAATCTTGCAATAATAAGAAGCAGCTGTAGCAGAACTATTTTTATCTTCACAGCCTGTCACTTATCACTATATGAAACAAGTTTTTTCGGTGCTGTCAGAGAGTTTTCTCGTTGTAATCCAGCCTTGCCTTTGTTATTTGACTTGCACAGGTACTCAACACACGTACACACAAACCCCATTGTCTCATCCAGACATACAGAAGGAAAGGGCGTATTTCTGATCTTGTTTTTAGGTGACAAAACACAATTTCGTTGGTAACTCATTTTTTTAAATTTACTTACTTCAGTTCCTCTTCCTCAATAAAGCCACTCCTGTCCTGGTCAAGAATGCCAAAGACTTTGGTGAGTTCGTCTTTGGATTTGGAGTTGAGACCCACTTTGACAAAAAAGGTTTTGTAATCAAAAGAGTCAGCAGCTGAAATAAGCAGGAAGGGATAGAGAAAAGTAGTTAAAGATCTGGAACCAAAAAAATTAGCTTTTTGGTCAAAAAGCAGCAAACCATTCTGCAGTACAGCAAGGGTCACTGCAAACCCCAAGTGACAATCTTTGATTTTACTGAGTTTACATCAGATTAATGGGATTTTTCCATCAGTGATGTCTCAAACCTAGGAATATAAATAATGACTCTGGTTGTCATCATGCAAGAACATACATTTGTAAACAGATACTTCCCTCAAACATAAATTCACAGAACTTGATGGTAAATATTGTACTTGTATGGAAATCAGCAGTAATTTTATTATTATTCTCTGAAAAAGTAGGATTTCTACATCAGGACTTCAGCCATTGGTTTTTTTCGTGCTTAATATTGCTGCAATGCACAAGTGATGATGGGTTCCTGTACCTTGGCTGGCAAAGATAAAAACTTGCCTCTCTTCCATTGCTTTGCCTCCTTTATCTCTTTTTGAAACAGCCTTTTCCGTTTCTGTTGGAGTTGGGACCTTGGGGTAACGAGGACAAAGGAACTTGACAGATAAACTGAAAAGCCAAATTTAAACCATAAATATTACCTTGACAGCTCTGTAGACCAGCAGCAATTTCAGCTTCTGTCAGGATACCAGAAAGAGCCATGGCAAAGCTGCTGCAAAACGAAAAGCACTGTCGGGGGGAGCTCCCACTGCTCTTCTCTCCCAGCCCGTGGTGCCCAGGGGGGACAGACAGGGGGATCTGCCCTGCAGGAGCCAACTGCTCCATCCTTGATTCACATCCATCCTGCATCTGACTCACTGTTATTTCCAGTTGAGTCTTCAGGTGCCCAAGCTGGGGACAAACTCAGATGTATTTATAGAACTGCCTGGCCTTGGGGGATCTCAGGTTATTTCCATGCATTCTTTCTGTGAATTATTGTGGTGTCTTCTAAAGCTCCAGGAGGAAAGATTGAACTCACCTTGCCTCTTAAGTTTTCCCCCAGGCCAAGGAAATTTTGTAAAAGGTAAAAGATCTGCGGAGTCCTCTTGACTTAATTCTTATTCAAATGACAGAGATAACGACTTATATAGATTTTAGTTAAGTCTTCTTGACCTTTTACAGAAGTCCCAGAGCCACGTGATGGCTCAGATACCCCAGGGGATAAGTTACTGTGGCTGACAAGACGTGCTAGCTAATCAGATTGATATTTATATCCCAAAGGAATGCACATGGTGTTTTAGACAATATAGAAGGTTTGGTGCCATACAAAGTAAATCCTCTCAGCTTGCACCTATTTTACTGAAGTGAATTATTTTTGATGGGTGAATGAAAAAATAGAATTTTTTTTAATTGCTTAACGATAGCAACAAATGGGCACCTTCATGGTACACTTTGACTTGTAAGGATCTTATCCTGATAGGAATTACTCATGAAACATTAGTCCTGCAATTGCCCTAATTGTCTTCAAATAATACTAATATTGGTACATTTGTAACAGATGTATCTGACATATCTGGGAGTTTAGCTTTGCCTTTATTTCAGATTACTCTGGAATAATTGAGAGTATGGCCTGGTATCAGAGAGGATCTGATAATTGTGTCGGAATTAGTGAACATTCAGGAGTAATCCTTGTGAGAAGCCCACACAGAGATTGCAAAGCCTTCATGTATAGAAGTTTTGGAGTATTTCTGTGGCAAACCAGGGCTTGCCCGTAGGTGGCACCAAAGACAGACAAGTCCAGCCGTGCCATCTCTCCGGGACAGAATGAGAACAGGGTAACAAGTGTAACAGGGTGCTGTTCATCAGCGAGGAGGAGACGGGGAAGGAGCAGGTATTTAAAACAAAAAAGTCTAATCTACCAAATCACTTGAAAGACAGGAATATAAAAGACTAAACTGAAAACTCTGAAATAACTCCAGAGGACTTTCTTTTATGACAATTAAGAACAGGTCTGTTTAACAAAAACAGGTTTTACTGTGCTTACTTTTATGCTGGCTAAATATTAGTGTCTGTTGTGGAGATCACTGCAAATATAAAATCAGTTTGTTCTGTAGGCCTGGGAGTTAGAGCAGAGAGCTGGTATCCAGGAAATACAGCTGAATAATGTCTAGCTGGGATGGCACTGGTGGGATTCCCTGAGTCAAGTATTCCTGTGTTCTACTCGGACAGAATTTCCCCTTTGAACTGAGGGTCAGAAATACCTTTGTGCCTGCAGGACAAGGCATTGTCTCATATTGTAACTGATGTGCTGATCTGATTTTCTTTTCTGCAGTTTCTTATACAAACCCTCTGATTTTCTTGTTTTCATGAGTGTGGGACATCCTGACAAGCAAATCCAAAGTTATGGAGCAGCCCCATCCCAGCTGCTGGTGTGCTCTGCAGGCCTGCAGTGCAGTAATTGTACCAGACAGTCCATACCAATGGAATGGGATCCTTCTGTGCTTGCAAGCAAAAGTAATATGGAAATTAAGCTCCCTAAAATGCGAACACTTCAGTTCGCATTCCACGGTATCCACTTATTGAAATGTTTTAAAACACACAAAAAATTAACCACGAAAATGCTAGGTACGTGTCCTGTTCAGGGATTTAATCAAGATGTATCTATTTCAGTAACCAATTCCAGGAAATTAATCCAGCCTTGGCCCCCTCTGCCCACACTGTTTGTGTGAAGAGCTCCAGGTGCCTCTGATGATGCTGCATCAAAGATTTTCCACATGGGCTGGCTGCTAACTCGGAGAAGAAACTTTACCAGTCTATGTGTGCAATGAATGTTCTGACATCCCCTTGCCCTTTCCGTGCTCTCGTACTTGTTAGAAGATGACTGGGAGATTTTGAACAGTTGGAGAGCTGAAATTGAATCTGAAGTTTACAAGTGGCTCTAGGTTGGGGTTTCCAAAGGAACACGAATTTAGGAGGCAGCAGCTTCCACTGAATAGCAGGAGGTTTTATCCTGTGCAAGGTTCTGCTCTTTCTTCAAGACAACCCAAGATTTTGGTTTGAGAGATGATGGATTCAGTGGCTAAAGCACTTTAAAAGAGGTTTGTGTTTTGTTCCCCCTTACAGAGATCACAGTACATCTTTATTTAATAAGAAATATAGGGAGGATTAGAAATACAACCCTACAGGGTGATCAGGGGACTGAGGTGTTTGAGAACTCACAGTCTTTGGGCTCAGTGGAACTCAGATCTGCCACTCACATTTTGGGTTGCTCTTTGGTTGTCTTAAGTAAAGGTAAAACACAAGACCAGCATTCCCTTTATCCTGGCAATTATGAAGCAGAATTATACAGAGTATTATACTGAGTAGAATGGTCTTACTCCAAACCTGAGAAGAGGTGTGAAAATCAGTGTGAAAAAGCAGGGGCTTGTTGGATCCTTTCCGATTTGATGTAGAATGAACAATTTCTAACAGAATTTTGGTATTTGACTCTGTACTCAGCAGTGTTTTATTTGTGTAAGTCATTCAAAAAGCTTGATGCAGAGAGTTTAATCCTCACTTATCAGATTGCCCAGAAGGGTTATGGAACCTCCATCCTTGAAGATACCCCAGCTCAGCTGGAGCAATCTGCCCTATGGTGGCCTGGGACCAGAGACCTCCAGAGAACCTTTCCAGCAGGAGTTACTCTCTGATTCTGTACACTGTGACACCACCACGTGTCTCTTTGCTCCTTCAGATGACATTCATGTAGACATCCTGCAAGAGAAGTGTTTCTCGAGCACAATGACGTTGTCAAGTTCAGAGAACACTCCGTGCTCTTCCCTAGGAAAACTGAAGGCTGTCACTGGCTGAAACTAAACTAATTGAAATGAACCTTCCCAGAAAACTTTAAGTTTTTTGAATTTGTTTCCTTTAGTTGAAAAACACTCTCCTCTGTCTTGGTTAAAATGTGGATCCTGGTGCCAACAGAATCCTTCCCAGAGAGCAGGTGGTGTTTTTGCTGAGCACTCTATGGGCTTTTTTTAGAAACTGGGGAGTTTTTTGAGTTTTATTGTGATTTCTTCTAATGAAATGGCTGGATGGTTTTAATAGGATTTAAAACTCTTCTCCTTGCCACAGGTTAGTGTTTCAGAAGAGCGGATTTTCTCGTAAGCACAGTGAAGTTGCAGCATCCACAGGAGTGCCTGACTATCAGGAATACCTCATCTCCTGCTTGTGAGCCAGTGACAGGACAGTCTGGAGATCAGCTGTGAGAGGAGCCAGGGTGTGTCTGACATCTGGATGTGGCTGCAGAGCTGCATTGCTCGGGGTTTTTTTCTTCAGTAGGGAAATGAATAAGGTGAAAGGAACCAACAGAGTCTCATCATTATGCAAAATATTTCAGTGCTGCAATTAACAGCAGCTATAATTTAAGCCCAGATTTAACATCAAAGGCAGTGGGGATAGAATTAGGATTTATGTTCATTATAATTCTGCCAAGGCTTCAGTGAGTCTGATTGCTGGAGTTCCCCTTTTGCATGAGGCATCTTAAATCTGTTGACCAGCTCTCTCCTACATGCCTGGGTACGAGGGACCTGTACTCGCCTCACACACTCATCTTGCCAACATTGGATGTTACATAAAAGTTCCAGAAGGCTTTGTTTCTGCTCTTCTTCAAAACAGCTGCCAAATCATAATTATCGTTCAGCTTCAGTGGGGAGCGGTGGAATGACAGCCTGTGAGCTGGAACCACACCGGGGGAGATGGGGAAGGAGACCCAGAAACGTTGGGGGGAAAATTTCCAACACACTCAGCCAGAAATGCCCAACATCCACTCACTCTGCTGAGCTCTGCACTAAACCCCAGACCTCATTTACTTGGCCCATGAATGAAGACAGTGCTGTAACCAGCTCTCAATCCTGGGAGACGCCTGTCAAAGGGAAGGCCAATTCTTGGCAGCTTTCAGACTGAAGGAAGTTGCTAATATTATGGAATATACAGATGATTATTCGTATAATAAATGAAAGAATTGAGTAACAGCCATTATTTAGCAGTGTTACAGGGCTTTAAGGTAATCAAGCAGCAAGACTGGCTGTTGTTTCACCTGTAGGAAACACAGAAATTCACAGATGTGCCAAAGGGTTCTTGTTTTGTGCAGATTGAGAGACAATAAGCAACATGGTCGTGATTCATGGAAAACCCTGCAGGCCTGTGGCCCAGGTTGTCAGGGGACTGTGACTTGTGACAGTGTCAGAGTGGGATTAGACCCTTCTCCTCTATCTCACAGCTGCCTTAGATTTCATGAGAGATAAATCTTCTTAAGGGAGAGTTACATTTTAGGCCATAAACACTTTGGGATGATACGTGCTGTAACCTAGTACTTTATTTTGTAAAATTACCCACAACCTTATTCTCTGCTTTGAGCTGTGTGTCAACTCCTCTGAAATTTTTTTCTCATATTCTCAGGGTTGGGACTGAGTTATTTTTAGCCATCTTGTTAGCAGTGCTTTTCCTCAAGGATCAGAGAATTAAGCAGAAATAAACCTCAATGAAACCAGTACAATTAAGCCTTAGAAGATATCACATTGTTTCAGATGATCCAAACTGCATCTGGCGAGTCAGCATGAGAATGGAGAACCTAAGCAAATTTTAAAAATCAGCTTCTCCCCCCTCCCCGAGGTTCTTTTTGTCTGGTTGGGGTTTTTTGAATTTTTTTTTTTCCTCCCCTCTTCCAGCTGCAATTTCAACATTATCAGTGGCTGAAAATCACAAAGTGCCTTCTTTACAGTGGAAGTGGAGCAATACCATGTGACCAAAACACTGCGAGGTTTCTTTCTCAGTGATCGGGGGTGTGAATTCCGTGTGTGGGGAAGCGTTGATGCCTGAAACAATAGAAAAAAGTACAAACACATGCTGGGTGCGAAGTGCTTGTTGGACGAGGTAATTGGGAGAGTCACTCCGAGGTTGCCTTTGGTCTAATGCTGTTTATGCCTTCACCAGAGACTGGAATTCTGTCAAGGAAGAAAATGAGAAGGCAGGGGATAAAACGAGATGACAGCGTTTTTTGACGTCTTTAAAAAAGATAGATAAAAATGACTTAGACTCCTCGGCATGGAGGGCTCCCAAAGTTATTACAACACTGCACAAGCTCCTGCTAAACTGAGACTCTGGGGGCGGAACAGATTTTTCACTCCTTAAAAAGAGTAAGCACAGAGAGGAGGAGTGTGTCTGTAAATTCATATTTGTGGGAAATCCTGAGTTATAGGTAAACTATCTTTATCCCATACTCTGATAACAGCCAAGGAAGCAGAGCCTGCAGCTCTCAGGGAGAGGGATTTTTGTTTTGTTTTGTTTTGTTATTCCAAAGGAAAAAATACCAGTAGTGATGTAATTTCAGACGGCAGATTCAATGGTTAAGGGCTAAGATCTGCAGAATACAATGCCCTATTTGGGGCTCATAAACAGAAGCTGCAAAAGCTGCTGCTAAAGCAAATTCTTCCAACAGTGTATCCCTCTCTCCTCCCAAACTCTGGCTAAGGTTAGCACGTGTGTCTGTTGGAGTTATTGCCACCTGTCCTAGTTCAGCTGAGACAGCCCTGTTTTCAGTGACTTCATCTCTAATACATGATGCACAATGTCCTATTTTCCTGTGCTGCAATTCCTAAAAGAAATATCCTGGCTAGTTCACATCATCCCTGTGAGGTTTTCTCCAGGAATTTGGTTTGGTTTCTCCTAGAAGGACTGCCTGGTGAAATGTGCACTTAGCAGATGATTCTCCAGCACAAAATCTTGTGCTGCATTGCAGCAGTTGCAGCCTCGAGAAACAACACCAGTCTTATTCACATGAGTGAATTAACCACTCAGTAACACTGGCACTGTTTGATAGTAGAGAGGAAGAAATAAGTTTATGTAGGTGGAAGTGGGTTTAAAAATGAAAGTGTCAGATGGCCAGAAGCGCAGAAATGGAAATTTGGAGATGTTTAGGTGTTCAGGATGTTTTAAGGATCTGGCACATTGGGTCTGTGGATCAGACACAGCAGGATTAACCCCAAAGCTGTTATTATGGGTTGGGAAGCCCAGACTCTACATAGGGCCTAAATATTCTGTTGGTGCAAGAGAGACCAAATAGGAACAAAGTGATGAAAAAAAGGAGTATTTGCTCATATACAAACTATGGCAGAGTTATGAGGCCAAAGCACTCAGATGGATTCTTCATGCCACAGTTTAAATGCAGCCCTGAAATGTGTGCATTTTAACCCACAAACTTTATCAAATCTCCAGAAGCCTCACCTTCCACTCCAATTTTGCCATCACCATCAGTGTCACCTGCAGCCAGAAAAGCCTTGGTCTCTGCAGAGGTGAGGACTCTGGCACTGGAAGAGAAATTCTTCAGGAACAGCCTGAAAGAGAACAGGGGAGAGGGCTGTGCTTGGGTTCTGTTCTCTGAAATGTCCCATGAGGCAATGCCTGCTCTTACTATCTGAGGAAATCCACACTGACTCAAGGGAAGATGAGGAATTGGGTTTGAGTTTGGAAATAACAAGTTTCTTCTAAGACACCAGGCATGTTCAAAGGGTTGCACTGCTTAAAGAAACAGAGCAGCTGAACAGTACTTACTGCAGCTCCTCCTCTTCAATGAAACCACTCTTGTCCTGATCAAGGATTCCAAAAACTTTCTTTATCTGATCAGGAGTTTTGCTGGATAAACCAACCATGGAGAAGAAAGACTTGTAGTTGAAGGAATCATCAGCTGGAAGAAACAGAAGTTGTTAAATATTTTCCCTTGCAGTTGCTCCTGCTGTATGTGTTCCTTGTGAATATGTATGTCTGTTCTTAAGCATCAGCCTGCTCCTCTTTCTCTTGTTCCCTGGTGTAGCAAAAGAGCAGATACAGTGGATAATTCCCCTTTTTAATCACGCTGTGCCTGTGGTCATATATCCTTTCAGCCAGTTTGAACTTCTCTGCTACAGCACATTCTGCTAAATCAGGATTTATGCAAAGTGTCACATGCAATTAATAATAAATATTTAGAGGGTGATACTGTGCCCTACAAAGCAACTCCTGTAATTCTTCCTTCATTTTCACTGAGTCCTCACTTAGATGAAGAATTTGATAGAAAAGTCAGTAATTCAGAGACAAGCCAGACCTCTGAATATTTGGAAAATGGGCTTAATCTTGCTGAGCAGCTCTTCAGAGAACTGAGGCTGGCCATTGTTTCACAAATGACACTTTGATTCTGCAAGCTAAGGCTTTTTTTTTTTTTTTTTTTAATTGTGAAGCAAAAAGCTATATAAATGTAAGTCTTTAACAGGTTTAAACATTGACAGTTTAGAGTTAAGGCAGCTCCAGCTGAATCTGTGGCCCTTTAATTGCTGCTCACCCCTTGTGAGACTTCCTGAATTTAAGGGGCTGTGCTGCGATGTAGCTCACAAAGAGATCTCACAGGGAAGGAATCCGAGGGGAAAATGATAGGCATGTCATCTTAAGACATAAAAATGGTATGCATCTTCTGTCTGCAGAGAGACCATTCCTTACCCTGGCAGCTGGAGAGAGCAGATTCAATATCTTTAGCAGAGAGGATGTCGGTGATGGCCATTGTTGAACTGGAAAACAAATTAAACGTGAGCTACTTAGTCATTCAAATGACTTCTGCACCCCTTTCGTGACTCTATTTGAAGTTGCTGCTGTGACAGTGTGTGAGAGGGGAGACATTATTCACCCCCTGGTAAGTGGGGCACAGCGGAGCAGATGAACAGATGTCTGAGCAGGTGCTTGCACGGAGAGCCGGGTAATGAGGGAGGAATTCTGCCTGCGGAGCCGGGGCTGCAGGAGGAGCTGCTGCCTGTGCAGGGCTGGCAGAGCCAATCAAAGGTGTCTGGCACCACAAAACCGCAGGGATTCTGAGTGGGTTTTCCTGGAGGTGGGTTATTGCTCAAACAGAACCAGCACTTATTTACAGCGCACATAAAAGGCAAGGCTCGGAATGTCCCCGAGAACGATATCTGGAATGAGCGCCATTGGAATTTGAAAAAAAAAAAAAATCTGGTACTGTTATCAATATCACTTTACAGAGAGTGAAAATACTAGTTTAGAATTAGTAGTAGTGATTTGATTAATTTCAAGGAAGTGTAAATTTGGAGATAAGTTCCCCCTCTGTTTAGTTGCAATAATAAATGTGCTGCTGGGCTGCTGTGCCACTGAGAGGCTGCAACTCCTGAGAGCTTCAGAAAAAAGTTTCAAAGTATATTTTGAGGGTAGTTTTGGTTTGGTGGGTTTTTTTGTTTGTTTTTTGCATTCTATGGAGATGATAAAAACTAGATTTTTATCCAGATTTTGGCATTTCAGTATATATTGCTGTGTTTAGAAAAGAAGTATTGAGACAATATTCATTCTTAGTAGGGGGGAGGAGGTGTTTTCTTCTGGTACAGCAGCATTTCATTTGAGAAGAGATCCCCTTTGTCCCCTTCAGTCACCAACAGCTGCAGTAGTTTGCCAGTGTAATAAAGATCACTTATCAAAATGCTATAATGCCTGAATTTTCTAGTAAGCTTTTTAGTGTGAACATAACACTGATGAATTTACAGTTGGGTAAACTGCACCCACCAGTGTAGACTGGTTACAATTTAAAACTTGCAACATTACTGATAATTCATGTTAATGAAAGAAGGGGAACTAAGGCATAGAAAAATTATCCTTGAAAGCCACAAGAGAACAGAAATATCATTTCATTAATCCCTAACTGGTCTTCAACAACATCATTCTTCCTGTCCAAGCACAGAAAGCAGCATTTTCATGAGAAGGAATCCACTCCTGGAACCCATTTATAGTCTGTGCACTGATTTGAGATCTACACACAGGTTTAAGCTTTGCCTAACTCATGAAATGGCTGCATTTATACCTGTTGGTTTAAAGCAGAGGGAAATGCCAGTCATTTTAGTCCCTTTCTGAATATCTCAGAAAGTGTAAGAAGGCAACGGGACAAATTCCCACTGATGGCAGTGGTTCCTTCTCCACCTCAGGCAGCTGAGTTACTTTTGTTTTACTGGCAATTATTTTGTCCCAGTGGCTTCTTGTGCAAAATTCCTCCTCTCAGCACAAGGCAAGGTAATTTGGAGCTCAGCCATTCACCTAATTCTCCCTGCTGACCGGATTAAAAACGGAGAAGAGTTGAAGGAAAACCTAAAAACTGCAGCATTTTTTACAACAAGCATTGTTCCAGTCCAGTTCCATCCTGTGATCCCAATGCTGATTCTATTCTATGTTAGCTTGTAAGGCTACAACAGCCTGGAAACTGAGATAAGAACAGATATTTTAATTGCACAGGCATTTCCATCTAGGGAGCCTTTGCTTTTGTATTTCTTTTTTGGAAAGCAGAGGATCTAAGCAGCTTACCTTTGTGGTCTTCCTGGCTGGATAAGGAGGCAGTGAGGTTGGGAGGAAGGTACTTGCTGTGTGTCTCCAGCAGAGCTGGACCTGCATATATATACTTTAAGTTGTATACCATATACAGATTTTAGATTTCAGCGTCACGGAGGGGGAATGGTGTCAGATGAACTTGCCTAACTAATCATCTTGCACTATTTTTATCTCCAGAGAATACATATGATATTTGCAAACGAAACAAGATAAGTGGCCAGATAGACAAAAAGAGCAGTCATGTTAAATTTCTTCTGATTCAAGCAGAAATCACCAACTTCTCTGTATGATGTAGGGCAAGAAAATCCCCCCACTGTCTGAGACGCTTGATCTGAGGAGTCAGATGAAATGAAGCACAGTAACTCCTGAGGAGATGGCTTTAATGAATGTTTAAATGTGATAACTTGTTATCTTATCTGCAGGCACTACGTGTGATAGAGTTTCATTGTTAGAGCACTGAACAAAAAAAAATTAAAAGTATCCTGTTCAAGTATTGTTTGTGTAGGGAAATGATAGCCTTGTTGGTAGCCTTCTTGATGTCCCAGAATGTCTGATCTGGTGTTGTTTTGTAAAAAATGCCACACAGTCAATTTGCTGCTACAGGAGGTAAAATAATATTATGTCAATCCATCGGAACAGTTGGCTGGGGGAGGGTATTTCATCTGTTTCCAGAGAAACTCTTACAATTCTGCAAGGTTCTGACAACCTGTTTAGTTGGGCATGTGTGAAGCAAAGGGCTTGTCATCTCCCCAGCTGTCTCAGAGACAAAAGTCCCTGAGCTCTACATGAAAGATCTTCGCTTTCTGAATACAGAGAAAAATTCTGATAGCAACATCACTGCACAATATGTGAAGAGAGCCTTTGCAGTCTGCCAGCCTGCCTTCAGTCTTTTTCAGATAAGTGATTTTGTTTTTTTTTTAATTGTCTGGGCAGTTGCTGTTTCCAAGTTTCCCTTCGTGCCGTCGCCTTTTCCCTAGGAATAATTTGGTCATCTCCATTTCCTTCCCTGTCTGTTGTAGCCCAGCTGGGTGAGGAGTCTGCCAACCTGGATCCCACTGGTGGCTCCAGCAGCAGAACAAGGAAAGACACGTCCTGTGGGTGACAGCACAGCCTGTCATTCTGCTCAGGGCCGAGGGGTGGCAAGGGGTGACAGTGCACTTGGCATCACAGCTCGAGGTGGTGGCACAGGAAGAGGTGACGGTGCAGAGACAGTGGCAGAGACAAGGGATCCCTTTTCCAAAGCACTTCCCCCCAAGATGGGAGGCAAACCCAGCCAGTCACTGCAGCCAACCACTAACAAATCACAGGGTCAGACAGCACAGTGGCAAACGGGGGGAACCCACGTGCATCCAACGCTGAGGCAGGTGATCAAAGAGAGACAAAAGAGCAGTGAAAATGATTCTCTGTGTGGAGGAGCTGCTATTTCAATCACAGCATACAAACACAAGAAAATCACTGCTACGAGGTTTTTTCTTTTCGCAAATTGTGCGTGTCTGTCCTCCGTGAAACAGTTTCAGACACAGATAATTCTTATGCAGGGGAGAACCACTGGTTGGGAATGGCTGTGGAAGATTTCAACTTTCCCCATTTTCTGAATGGGTTCTTGACCAGCTGACGCTGAAACATTTCAGGAAGAATTTGATGGATAGATATTTAATACCGGCTCTTGTTGTCACTGGTGACATCTGGTAGAAGGGATACAAATATCACTTTCCCCCCTCAAACTCTTCTAAGAAATTACTTTTATTCTCAATGGGAAAAAAATTCCTCTCCCTTTTACACACACCACCCTTTTTTCTCCCCCTCCAGTTCGGGAAATTGTCCACATAGTGCCAACAACTGATGGGCAGTACGTGGAGCATCCAACACAAAACCTGCTGGCATGATATGACCTAATGAAGCTAAGTTAAGAGGAAGGCCAAATTCTGCTGAAACTCTTGGACTGCAGGAGTCTCCATGGGAATTCGGTCTCTGGTGTCTGTTTCAGAGAATGCATTTGATTTTAGATGGAATGGCTTCTCATTTTGCCCAGAGCTAATTCCACATATGTTAACCCCTCGCCCCCACTCTTCCCTTTAAAAATAGCATTGATTGCTGTTATTTCCCTTAATGCCTGTGGACTGTTGCCATTAGTTTGAACTTTAGTATGTGAAGCACATAAGGATGCAGTCTGGAAAAGTGTGCTTTGTTTTCCAAGAGGCTTCAGCAAGGTGATTCCTTTTGTGCCCTGAGATTTTAAGGATAAAGTGTGTACGTCAGATGATTTATGGCTCCAGGCTGGTGAGCTCCAGCAAATTTTGGAGCCACTTTTGCAGTGAGGTTGGAGGCACTGGAGATCCAGAACATGTGCACTGGTGAAATGCAAAGGGATCAAGTAACTATTTACAACCAGCCTCCAACAACCATTTTCTTTTCAAGCCCTGCTTTAGAGATTACAAAAACATCTGTCTGGTCACTTTTACTTTCTTAAATCAAATACTGTTAATAACTTTCCGAGTTATTGGAAGGGAAGTTAAGGAGAAAATATCCCTTTCAGACCACCAGGTTACCACTAAAAGCAGTTTTAAACCCTGGGATCTGGCATTTCCCTTTGCTCAAGGCTCATTGCCTTCTGCAGGCACGGAGTTGTTTTGTCCTTCCCATTTTCATTCTTATTATTCTGACACTTGAAGTTCACCTCTCCAGGTTGAAAAGCTGTATTTTAGGTCATCATAAATTCTGAGGTGGTTCCATAATCTATTCTTGTCATTCTTCTTTGAGTGTTGACGTGAACCACATGTGCAGTGGAACAACAAAAGTGCAGCTAACAGTTGTGAGTGCCTGCTTTAATTTAAAGAAATGTGACCTTGTATATGCCTGAGATAATTCTCAGATGAATGAGATGAATGCTCCTGATAGGGGTATCCATGGTCACGAGCCAAGGAGCAGGAATCACCTTACATAATGTGTTTAACCTATTGTCAAATGGCATGTGAATAGAGAAAGTGGAATATTCATTCAGCCTGTAATTTGCTTTGGGGATATATGAGATGAAAGAAATAATGTGAATGTAATTTAGTGTAGTTGTATGAATGAATCATGCCCCAGTCATTTGAGGAATGTAGCTCTTGGAGTGATCTGGAAATATTTGCTGGTAGTTCTAGAATTAAATGACTGAATCTCCTGTCTGTAGATACCTCATATGGAGCCTCCAGTAAAATGTTGAAAAAATAAAAATGTCAAAAAAAGTTGCTGTGGAGTTATGAGGCTGTACTTGGGAAATACACCAAACAACATCTGGTTTCTTTTTGCAAACTTGAATGAATCATTCAAGTCATTTAAGTAATTTATTTTCACCAGCTCTCGTTCTAGTGTGACGTGGGTCCAGCCCCTGAGGTAGATTTCAGGGATTCTGAAAATTTATAATGCAATTTTCAGTTTTAAGTGCCCATTAAAGTGTAAATGCACAAAACACCTACAGACATGTTTTTCTTAGACCTGTAAAACATAATTTTTAAGCCAATTGGATTGTTTATGATTTCTGGTCCTGCATATATGAAATTTGCAAGAGGAAGTTTTAATCCTGATTCTGAAATTTGAAAGGAATATGGTCCGGATGAAAATTCTGTGTGATTTCTCAAACTGTAGCTTGAAACTTGTGGTCCTCAATTCAACCTTTCCAGTTCAGTTCCATTTCTGTTTCTTTCTAAAAAAATCCATGCATTGATGTAGAAAAGGATATTTTTTTTTTCGAAGAAAGAAATTCTCATAGACTGATTTCTGAAACGATAGATACCTGGGTCTGTTAAATATGATACAATCATTCATAAATAGACAAGATGCATGAACCTCCAAATAACTCCATCCATAGTTTTAAAATTATTTGCAACAAGTGTCAGAAAACCTATAGGGTCAATAATTTTCCTGCTTTAATTCTGAAGAAAAAGCTCACTATTTTTGAAAGTACCCTAATAAAAGTGCCAATAACAAGGTGTGTGTAGGATAATAATGGATTTTCAGTAGAAAATAAAGCTATTTCTGTCAAGGCAACCTCCTGTAGCTAAGCTGGAAGCAAAAATACATGCTGAAAACAGAACTTCTATTCAGTATTTGATCTACTGTGTTCTGCTCTTGAACTGTGGTCTTCAACTCCCGAGTGGTGAAATCCCTAAAGGGGATCCTCGTTACAGGAATTGTAACTTTAGTCTGTGTGTTTACCCTGAGCAGCCCAGAGCAGTCCTGCTCCATGACTGTGGGTTATGGGCACTATAAATAATCCTCTCTTGCAGCAGGCTCTCAAATATAGAGGTGTTTGAGATGAACTCAGATGTTTTCCAGCCGTGTCTGTGTGTTCCTGCACAGCCCCTGTCCCAGGGAGTAAACAGCGGGTGCCACCAGAAACACGGACAACTCCTTCAGCTGGACATGGAGTGGGGATTGGGGCACCAGCCATGGGCTGACCCAGTGCTGATACTGCTGAATAAAGCAGGGCCTTCAAACCTTCTGGCAGAGCTGCTTCTCAAGGGCATATATGAATTCCAAGGACATGTGGGTTTCAGGTGCTAGGTGACAAAAAATTGACTGTGAGAGATGTTTTTTCTGAGCACAGAGTCCATCCCCAAACTGATTTACAGGTGCCCAGTGAGGTGGGACTTAATTCCCTGCTCCTGCATTTGCTGAGATCAGAAAATGGTCAAAACTTGTCCCAGCTCCAGTCCAGCCTCTTTTCTATGGAAACTGGAGCGTGCTAAGGGGCTGGTGTGTGTTTGGGGATTGTCCAAATGTGGAGGTCGTGTCACCAGGGCACTCACCCGCACTCAGGGACTCAGGAACATTCCTATGTCCCTCATTAGGCCTTGCCAACAGCACTGACAATAATTAGGATGAGGAACTATGGAAAAGTGAGCTGAATGAATATGGAAATTGGGCCCAGAGACAACGGCATCGGATATGGAAGAATTAAATCTTTACAGACAAGAATCCTTTGAGCATTGGAGAGCTAAGCCTGCTTTAATCAATTGGTGCATCAATGAAGTGATTCCACTGGTCAAATATTCGAAGGATCA